TGGTAAAAAGCTTTACCCATTAGTCTTGTCTGGAAACATTACTGTATTCATATACCTCTGGAAGAAAAAAACACAGGCCCGCGAATGTAAACTTTATAAAAGTTGTTTTGGTTTTAATAACGAATTGTCCATAATTCAGCTATGCATATTTCGAAAATAATATTCATTTTTTTTTTCTATCACGTAATGACCTTTTACAAGAAGAAAAAAAAACGTCTTACTTAGATCAAATTATTATTTAGTTTACCATAAATATAACAGAATATGTTTGGGTCATTTACACAACCTTTTGTTGCCATAACAACAAATAAATAATATTAAAAATTAAAAAATAATATCAAAGTGCACGCACAAACAAATACTATCCACAAATGACACGTCATGCGGCCTGTTAACCGTTTATATACTAGCGGTGTGTTTTTCGTGGGTTCTAGAACGATCGATAAGACTCTCACGTCGCGATTGGTCTAGAGAAATCTATAGCCAGTGTTTGTCAACATTTTAAGGATAATAAAATGTGACCTGATTTCAGTGAAAATGTTTCATTTATGTAAAAGTACATGTGACGTTTTGTGAAAATTCTGTACGTGATGGAGAAAACGGATATCATTTCCAGATTTAGCGTACAGGAATTACTGTAGAACATGTAAACATTTCAAGACAATACAATCATCGCAGGCCTGTGTAATTAGCCTAAATAAATGTAAATAAAGGCATTTATTATGATTTGGAAATTACGTTATATTGAAATTGAGAACACTATTACAACTTTTAAGATTATGGACAGTAAATTATTGTTTTGTTTTTTTCAACTAACATGTACAATTTAAGGATTGGTTATTTTTTCAATGGAGTTTACTCTATCGAGGCTGGAGTGAATCCTCGTATAATGATACATTTCAATGTGCACTAGTGCTTGAATACTTAATAAAACCCAGTCATCCTCGGGCGTGGAAGTAACCAGGAAATAATAGTAATAAAAAAAAAGATTTAAGCACGAAACTTCCATATTATGTATGAGACTTGATGTGCCTAAATAACTTATAAAATATCCCA